CGGGATGGTGGTGGTGGCCGGCGGCAAGATCCAAGGTGGGGGAGCCGGCGGCTAGGGTTTGGGGGAAGGGGATTTTGTGGAGCTTCTAATGAGAGAGAGATGGTGAACGAATAAACATAAAATAAACTAGAGAACTCACCAAGAGATCTCAAAGGAAGAACTCACTAAGAGATCTTGTTATGCACTCACAAAGAGAACAAAAGGGAGCAATTTTCATTTCATTCATCAATACTAGTACAATGCATGAAGCCTCCTATAAATAGGCCAAAAGAAACAAAAACTAAAAGACATAAATGCCCTCGGGGCTACAATATCAAATGACAACCTCTAGGGGTAAAATGGGAAAACAGGAAAACAAAATAAACTAGTACATAAGACACAAAAGAAAATAATAAACTCCACATCATAGCCGTCGATCTTCCGATGTCCTCATCATTGGTCGTGATCAATACTAAAGAAAACAACCAATGGAAAGTGTATATATATATAAAAATATTAGTAAGCTTAGCCGACCAGGGGACAAAAGACCATGGATCATGGACCTTTGTAAGAACTTTCTTTAGTTAGGAAAGAGAGACATGCCAGCCCGCCTTAGGCGACTAATGCCTTCTCCGACGTGAGCTCCTACTCTCTTAGCGGTCGAAAGAAATCGGCATTGGGACTGTTTGAATTAAAACGAATGGTTCTACTAGTGGAAAAAAAAAAGTGACATGCTTCCATACAAGCTAGGGTAACGCAAATCAAGTTGAAGGTGGGGAAAGAAGAAAATACTAAAGAAAGAGAAGAAGCACATAAAGAAGATGAAGGTCTTGTTAACCAACACAAACAATGGCTCCATCTTCATCAAATGATTTAGAGGAGGAAAAGATTTGTTTCATAGCTAAAGAGGAGGATTCTGATCCTCAAGAGGTATACGATCATTACATTTCTTATAAAGATTTGACAATATGAAGTTCAAATAAAGTAGACGCCTATGAGCTAAATCACAAAGATTTGATTTAAATGACTCAGTAAAGCTAGTGGATGAAAAACTTTATAGGAGCATAAGACACTATTGCAATCAGGCTTGAAAATATGTTTGCTCATTGTGTATGAGCTAATTTTTAGGCCAAACCCAAAGAAACACATTTTCTACGAAAAGCATATATTTCATTATTTGATATAAAGATTTACTATTTTATCACATAGTAGCTTATTATGATATTGATTATATTGGATGCAAAATTGATTAATACAATAATTCTAGATAATAATATCAATTTTTGAGATCATTATTTATGTCTTTGTCTAATATAGAAAAAAGTTCTGTGGCTTTATCCACTATAGTGATAGAGTATGTCACTACAGGTGGTTAATTTTGTTGCATAAATACTTTTCTTAAACTACAATTGGAAGGCTATGGAATTAGGCTAGGATATAGTCCAATTAGTGTGATAACACTAGTGCCATGATCAGCCTATCAAAAAATCTAATATAACACTCACAAAACACATAAATTAAGATCAGACAACACTTTAGTGGAGATCATATTTATCCGGGAGAAGTTAAAATTGAATTTGTTAGCTCATATATTCAAATTGTGGATATTTTTATAATACCATTCGCAGAAGACAGGCTTTATGAATTAAGAAAAATTGACATTGAAGATCCACATTTAATATGTTGGATTTTTTGCATATTTTAATATGCTATATATTTTTTCTCTTTAATTTGATATTTTCAAAAGGAAGAGAGATATGAATGTTGGAATTCAATTTTTGTATTTATACATATATTTAGGGGGATTTTAGTTACATAATTCAGGGAGAACACATCATCAACCATTTTCATATTACTATTTCATTGTTAGATGCTTTATTGAATTGGAGAAGAGAATGCTAAATTACGTTTGAGAGGTTATTTTGTACTTTCAACCTTATTCTTTGTCAACATTGATTTTTCATCATAAAAAGGGAGAGTATTGATCCCATGAGTTTTTTTGTGTATATGAGCTTATTTTGATGATAACAAATATATAATTTAAGGTAAAATTATTATATGTTAAATAATTTCTATAATAAAAGTTTCTAGTGATTTTGATTCAAGCTTCAAGAACAAATGATGAATGATCTAATGGCTAAGCAAGCATAAGGAAGCTCAAGAAAAAGATTAAAAGTCTATTAGAGTTATTAAGAGAGAGAGAGAGAAAGAGAGAGAGAGATAGTCAGGGAACTATTACATTATGATTAATTCTCCACTGACATGAGGAACCATAGTATGTGGCTATGGTACCTAGTGATATCGTGAAATCCTAAATTGATGGGGTTTACGCGTGGATGTAGATTTGAACTAAACCTTATAAAAATCTCTGTTTATTGTCTACTTTCACTTAATCAATCTACACTTAGGCTTCGTTTGCGACGGCTTTTTTACGTTGAAGTACAAATATTTTAACTTTTGTACTAAAAAATGGTTTTAAGAAGCAGTAATAAAGCCGCCCCAAATGAAGCCTTAGTTTTATTATTTGCTAGAATTTTAAATCATCAAATTCACCCCTCTTGATATGCCAAACTCTTCATAAGACTATTCTTTCTAAACACTAGAAAGCGCTTTCTATTTTGTAAGATCATAGTTTTCAACCTTGCAAAACATAACTATATATAATTCTCTCAAAATTTGTCTTGCAAAACAGAAAGAGAAGTCTTGGTACATAATGAAAATTTGTTTCAAAAAGAAGTGTTGTGCATCCAAGATTAAATTTAGCGCAAAACATCTTGAGACAAGTTTTTCATCTAATGTTTAATGCCACAACCTATTAGATTGCTGCTTTAACTTACACTCTCTAGCAAAAAATGTACCAACTTTATGATGACCATTTATATGAATACCAACCACTCTTGCTTCTTGCTTTAGTTTGTTCAGTAGAAATCATATTTCCCTACTCTTTCATTTTAACTTGAACTGAAATGCGTGTATTCTTTTATGTAAAAAAGAGAGAAAATTTGGTCTCCATACCATCAAGTGCCAGGTTAACGGTGTGGCAGCAAGAGCATTGCACACTAGTTGCTCCACGTATATACATTAGAAGAGTATGGCAGCCTCCACAAACTAGTTGAGCCATTTCCGTTCCTGCCTCATTGCCAAAACATTATAGTTGAAGAACATAGTTATCACGAATACTATGCCTGTAATGCAAGCAAACTATTTGAAGATTCCATGCTTTGCAATGTTTTCTGCACATTCTTATATTAGTTTCTTAAATGCACAAAATTCTATCATTACATTCTCAAAGATTTCTTTTAAGATAAAATAAAATACCACTGAAATTCAAATATTGATCTAAAGGAAAACGTTGTCAGGAGCTCCTGGCATATTTTTTATGTCAGAAGTGCAAGAACAACGATCAAATTAGAAAGATATCTGATAAAAAGTAAAACTATCTACAAAATAACTATCAGTCAATTACTTTGCACTGCAAATTTAAACCCAAAATCTTTTTTTTGCTCTAAAAAACGTTGAGCTATGTTTTATTTATGATCAAATGTCCTGTTTTGATCATTTTTTTTTCCATAGTCTAAATACTTGTACTAAACAAGAGATATATCAAAACAGCATGAAGGTTGGAACATATCACCAAAAAACTAAAGTTAATATTGCACATATCAAACAATCATAAAAAATACAATTAAGCTAGATGCAGTCTCTCTTTAACAAAAATAGGACTAAAATTCAAAGGCAGAAAAATAATAATTTTAAGGTACACAAAGAGAACTAATCACTAATGAAATGTACCAGGTGGAGGAACATTTGTCACTGCATTGCATACAGCACAGCAAACTGATGTTGCTCCTAATGGATATAGAAGAAGATTTCGACAGCCTGAACATACTAGTTGGCTCTGACCACCTGATATAAACAGTTGCTTCCATAAATACCACAAATAAATCATATTCTATACCAACACAGTTCATTATTGCAAATTATGAAGAAGATAACCAATAAATGTATGACAACCTTAAATATTAGCTTTCAAAAAGAGAGAGTATTTATAGAAGAATAAAGAAGAAGTAGGCAAAGAAAAGCTTTGAACTGAAAAGTGAAATGTCAAAACTGATAAAGGTAAGAGTTGTATTCTATCTCAATATATTTAACAAATGTAGAAGAAATAAACATCAGAAAACTGTGTAATTGCTGGGATAAAAAATATTGAAAATAGGACAACTGAAGGCAAAGAAAACCCATATAGCTTTGAATTTGACAAGTGAAATGTTTGAATTTACATTGTTATGGGATGCAATATATTTCAAGACATTTAAAATTCTTAAAAGTGACTGCTAGGAAAATACTTAAATGTATAACCAAATTAAAAGTAGGTCTTATGAATGGTGAAAAGTCATTTTCTTCCAATTTTAAAAGGGCAAAGTTGAAACTTATGTTGTTATGAGTTCCAATAAAGTTCAAGATAAACACTCTTTTGATATTAAAATTGATTGATTGAAAACAAAAGTTGAACCAGAATAGATAACTACATAAGCAAGGTAGGTCCTTATGAATAAAGAACATTAATTGTCCCATAATATCCTAAGCCAAATTATATCATTGCTCCCTAAATGAGTGGTATTTTCTTGAACTTGAAAGGAAAGGCCAACAGTTCAATACATAGCAAGAAAAAAAAGAAAGCTAGTTTAGTTAATAAAAATGTTGGAAATATATGCCAAGGTCCTGGGATAATCTTGGGCGCTGGCATAAGCTACTTAGCCCACTCCAATGGTGGAGTTAATAGCTACCCCAGTTCAAAAGAAAAATAAAAAATGACAGTTCTATTTCAATTTCCTCAAAAAGAACGGAAATAATAAAGGCATCTAAGCTATTATCCCCAAAACTCTTAATAGTTTCTTTCAAAGAAATAGTATTTTGACTAATAGCTGATGCAAATGCCCCTCAAACCAAAATGATTTTGAATCATCACAAATTCCTAAATAAAAAAGGACCTTTCTGTAATATTAAAGCAAACAAATGTTGACAATGTTCAGTTAGAGAATCATTAAGAAGAAAAAACAAAGATTTTGACGAATTGATAAATTTTCAGCAGCATTTAACTTAAGGATGACAAAGTAGTTGAAGAATTTACCATTTGGAGGTGTGAAAGGGACAGGGGGTGATGGATAAGGTGCAAGAGGCACTGGCATTGATAATCTGATAACTTTCTTTTCTTCTTTCAATTATTAAAACCTCCTACTTTAGAAAAAGAAGGATAAGAATTCCTAGTCCATTCCCTCCTATACCAATGAAAAAAAAAATCACAAAAATTAGAAAACCATGGAGTTTAAGCAAAAATAACACATTCAAAATAGCACAAACTACTGTTTTTTGAAAAAAAGGGGATGACTATGAAAAAAGAAAACCGCAAACAATCGAAATATTTGCTGCATGATGGCTCAAACTTAAAAGAAAACAAAGTGCTGGTTCTCAATCTGTTTTTTGAAAATAAAATTAGAAGCATTAATTCCAAAACCATATGCCTCAAGATATTAAAATGATAATAGAATAACCAGTAGCCATACGAAAGGCTTTTAACAGCAAACATGTCCATAACTTTTTTCTTGTTAGCCTTCCCCAATATGTCACTAAGCACTTAAACCAGAAAGAAAAGACAAACTATATATACCGCAAAATTTATAATCGGAAACAACCATTAAAAAGGGAAGATTGAGAAGCTACCGTTTAGCTTCTAAAGATTTCTATTTCTCTCTTGTGCTTTCTTGCTATATACTCTAGCTCAGAGAGAGAGAGAGAGAGAGAGAGAGAGAGAGAGGAGGGAGTGTGGTGAGCATAGGTAGGTATTTTATAGTGTGTTGGGTTTTCTATGGGCAATGGGAAATTTCAAAATCATACTTCCGTTGATTTATCCTACATCTTTTCTCATATTTTGGTTTATATTTCTGATATTTTTTCATTCACAAATTTAAGTAAAGTTATATTAAAATAAAATAAAATTTTATTAAGACAGTCTGCTAGTGGATCAAATAAATAAATATATTGAACCATTGAGGCCATCAATTTAGACTTAAGAGGCAAAAGTGTCAATAAAATTTATTTTCTTACATTTATCATCATTCACAAATAATTGAATGATAACAACAGAATTTTACTGTTTTTTACTTTTTTTAAACTAAATATATAACTTTATTAAGTAAGAGAAATTTTATAATAAAAAAATAAAAAATTATCCTTAAATAAAAATAAACTGAATTATCCTAAATTTATTGATTTAGTTATTAAAATATGTTTTGAATAAATTTTGATATAATGTTTTTTTGTAACTGTAGCCTTTATTAAGTACTTTTTATTTTTCTCTATTTTCGGAAGAGAGAGACATTATTTAAAAAAGAGAGCATTCAATTTTCCTTTTGTCGTTCATGCCATGCACGTGAGCTCCCGTCCTTGTGGAGCTTGTGGTTCTGCAAGGGCCACGTAGGTCATGCCCGTACAAATGTAAAGAAGAACACGCCATTACAATTACTTCCGAATGAGTTAATAAACAAATGTAGTATATCCATATAGTATTTAAAGTTTTTTTATATATAATACTTTACACAACTCTTCTTGGCCTATTGGTTGAGAGCTTTGGCTTCCAACTAATAGGTTCAGGGTTCGAGTCTATGTGTATGCGTTGTGTGTGTGAGTTTGCCTTAAATGACCTAAATGTCCCAAAAAAATATATAATACTTTAGGTTTTAAATTATATCAAAAAATATATTTTATTTTACAAAAAAAGTATTAATACTATTTTCGATATAATTTAAATATTAAAATATTATAAAATATAAAAATTTAAATACTAAATATGTAAATATATAAAAAATATTTTATATATGTACGGGTGTCAATATTATATATGTACGGGTGCCTGATATTGACACAACCAGGAAAATTTTCGGGTTTTGGTCATCCTGTTTGCCCTACGAGTTGGTTTGTATTGAACTGAAATCCAAAGAAGACCCGGATTCCTCCCCCTAACCTCACGTTCACGTCCTCACCCACATCTCGCTGGGGCTCGACCCTGCAAACCTCAGGCACAACCCACACCTCCTCATCTCGCCCTCATCCTAATGCAGCTTGAACTTGTAAGCCGTAGACACAAAGTCATGCCCGCACTCGCCTTGCCCGCTTTCGGGCATCCTGCTGTCGTACTCGCTACCACGCACATGCCCCCTTGCCTCGCACATATCCCATAGCCTCCCTGGTCGAGTTAGATCAACTCGGTAACCTGCTCGGGTAGAGTCTAGGTTGAAAATCCCGACCCGTTCGTAAAATTAGGACGGGTTAAGGTCAACTTGTTTGGACCCATGTCAATTCGGGTTAGATCAGAATTTGATCCGTTGACCTATTTTAACACCCCTAAATATATGTACAGATCTCCTTAATAAGTGTTATCAATATTTTAGTATTAATTTTATTATTTTATACTCAATATTCATAAAAAAAATACTAAGCGTTATAACGGTCCCTCCATCAGTGAAAGAGATAAGTGTAAATAGAAAAAAAAAATATTTTATAAATGTGAAAATTTTTAAAAAAATATATATAAATATATATCACTTTAATATCTAAATAATTTCAAAATATATGTAAAAATTTTATATTTTATTTTATTTTAAATAAATTAATATCTGTGATATTTTTTATGAGATTTAAAAGTAAAAGTATTGTATAAATAAATATAGTAATTTATATATTATATATGTAAATATACAATAATTTTATGATATTTATATAAATCGCAAAAAAAAATATTTACTGCTACATTCCCACAAGATTGGCGTACTTTTTAATTTTTTTTAAATAAAATATTTGCCAATCTTGAAAAAGAACAGAGTAATTGATTCTTTTATTTTTTGGGTGAAAATTTCTTGATTCTTTTATCATTTCATTTGTAATAATTGTAGATTAATGAAAATATTTAAAATTTTGAAACAGTAGTTTTATTCACAACCTTTATAATAAAATCAATATGGATTTATAGTATATAATTTTTTTTTATATAAAATTATTTTTAACGTTAGGTGACGCGAAAGGGGAAGGGACAGTCACACAGCCATGGCTGGCAAATCAAGTTCAGATGTCTTATTAATGATATGTAAGATTTAATGGTTGATCACAAAATATTTTTTAGTTCGTTGAATAATTTTTTATTAAGTCCAAACAATGAATTTTGTTATTTTTATTTGAATATGATTATTAAAATAATAATTTGGTTATTTTTGTTTTGAATATGATTATTAAAATTATTGCAAGTTATAATATTCATGATAATAAAAGAATTTTACACCATAATTTTATTTGAAAATTTTGCATGCATACAGATTAAAGAGATTAAGAAGAGAAACAAAAGCATTTATATGAAAAATTCAAAAAATGAAAAAAAAAAATCAGGGGTAGGCCAATTGAATTTGTCTATTATATAAGTGAGGTAATAGTTCATTCTTTATCATAATTAGAGAAAAAGGTGTTACAAAGTATAAAATACTAGCTCAACCTCTTATGGTTCTAATGGAGAATGTTATAGAATAAGTGAAGGATTGCAACGACAATCAGATGATGGTGTTGAACTGATTATGATGGTTGAACAATGATGGTTGGTTGATGGTGCTTTAACGATGATTATAGTTTGATAATGATGATCTAATAATAACAATCAGGTCACAACAATAGAAAAATGACGGTTGCTAGTAGTCATATGTTGGCGTCTATCATTGGACATAACTTTAGAGTTTTTGATAAATCTAAACTTTCTACAATTTTAATTCCATTTATGTCGAGAATGTGGGTTTATTTATCATTTTATGAAGTGCAGTTTTATAATTTTTAGCAAGAATCTCCAAATGCTCCATCGGATGGCCCTTGTTGATTCATTTAATCATATATCATTTTTTTTTGACATTTGGGTGCCTTAGTGATCTTGAAATCGGGTGGCTTGTGTAAGATTTGTCGGATTCCTCTCATTGAGATGCTTATTTTAACTATAAACATGTAAGATTTATAGATTATTTTATTTCTCAAGAAGTGTCAGGAAGATTCTAACTTGACTTATGCTCATTTGGACTTAGATAAAAACATTTTTAGCTTTAATAAAAGTTTATTTGATTCAAAATTTAAAATAATTTACTTTTACCCACTTAGTGAAGTAGTCAATAATTAAAAGAAATAAGAATGTTTGTCACATGGTAATAGGAAAAGGTCCTATGATGTCAATCTCCCATTAAACAAAGGTTCTAGCTAGGGCTTTTAAGGGAAGAAAGTTCTACTCAGAGAGCACAAGTAAGGTTAATATTTGTTATCTTTTTGCATGAAATCTAGTACATCTTATTTCATTATGAACCAACGAAGTTCTTAGCAAAAATTTTTTGAGTGAGTCTTTTATCCTGCAAGTGTTCCCCATATATTATTGAATGGACCTCTCAAACTATATAATTTACTTTTGATGGCGGAAGAAACTTAAGGTATGATTTAGCAAATGAATTTTTTATAATTCATCACCATTAATGATCATTTATATCTTATCATCAAAATTAATGGTGGTTGTACAGTCTTCAGGCAACATCCTATTATATATGATGGAGAGGCTGGGTTTTATCTAATATATTTCATTTGATTTCTCAATAATTTGTATTTTTCATGGACCTTGTATACTTGAGAAGTGAATACCCTTAACACACTTTTTTTGTAATATAAATATCCAATTATAATAGTTAGAAGCTTTGAAAGAGCATCATCTTCGACATTTTAAAATTGATGTGTGTAGATAATTTGACACTTATTAATGCTACAAAATTGTTTATGAAGTCTAAGTACTACAATAATGTGTATGGAATCAATGTTTTTCTGATAGGAAGTGGATGTTCTTTTCACCAAATCAATGGTTGAAACATGAAAAATTGGGAAGAATAATGCCTAAAAATAACTTCTATTGAAAGAACTATGAAGATAAATGCAAGATACAATTAGATCTTCAATTGGAGAGGAAGATTCGGCTATCTCAAATCCCTAGTTGTTGATTAGAGCCCAAATAACCTAAGAATGAACTAAATTGAACAAATATGACATAACCCTAACCCTAAGGAAAATCTCCCTCTTAAATCATACAATAAAAGATAAATACCCAAACAACCCTCCCCCAATTCCCTCCTAAATCTATTCCACTTTCTTAATTACAAGCTTCAATCGAGATAACACCACAACCCATCTAAAGGAAATCCCACTACACAATGTACTATGTCTAAATAACAACCTATATTAAGTATAATGTTAATAGCCAGCCTTTCTTGCTTATTTACAAATATCATATACATCATATAACAATAATATCATTTTATCTATAAATACAATGATGTATAAAATACATAAAAAATCTATAAACTATGAAATTTCTTTAAAAATTCATAAATCATTTTGAAAGTTCGTTAGGGATGTTAAGCCCTATAGAACTGGCCCAAGCTAACCAAGAGGGGGGGTGAATTGGTATTTTAAAATTTCTTTTCACAAAGAATAAAAACTGTATAAACCAAAATCACACCACAAAAATAAATGCGGAATTAAAAGTGCGGAAGCAAAAAATAAGAACACAGAAATTTATAGTGGTTCGGTCAACTCGACCTACGTCCACTCCTTGGAGGCACCCTCCAAGTATTGCACTACAAAACGTGACTCTCCTTGAGCCCCCACGGCTAGGCGGAGAAGCCCTCACAAGAACCTCCTTTTTGCCACCCCGGCAAGGCAGAGAACCTATCTCCTTTTGCTTCCTCCTGAAGCAACCACAA